ATGTAATTTTTATTTTGTTACAAACAACCTTAGTTTATTTTAGTACTCTTGTACTAAAATTATATAGTTAAAATTATTAATAAAGATATGAGCAAGGCCTTACCTAAATATTAAAAAAAAAACAAAAAAAACAATGTTGATACTTTTTTTTTAAAAAAAAAATGATTTTTTTAAACAAATAAAAAATACACAAATTCTATTTAGAAGTTCAAGAATTTTGTTCAATTTATTATTCTCTTCAAAAGGTTTTTTAGCAAGAAAATGTATAAACCAATGAAGTTATTGATGACTATCCAAATATTTATATAACCTAATTTATTAGAAATCATAAGAGACAATATCTTTAGAAAATTTTTTATTTTGAAAATTATTTACAACAAATAGTACAAACTTAACAAAGTTGTTATATAATTCCTAATCAATATATAGATATAAATGGATTACAAGTTAATTTTCAAAATTTAAATGTGCAAAAATCTACTTTATATTAACATTTATGCTTGTAACAAGCTTTTAATTTTATATAATGAATACTGTCAACTTGCAACTATTATATCTAAAATAAAATATTATCATAAAGTTAATAAGCATTAATAAGAAATATCAAGAATTATAAACAATCTGATTTAAATTCATTCAGTTCAATTAATTCTATAATGCTAAATGATGCTTATTAATTACTAAAAATATTTTATTTGTTTTAATTTCTAAGTTAGCATATGAAAATTTATTTATATTACAAGTAGGTGATGTTATTTATATTAAATTAAGTGAAGATGAATATTAAATAGACAAATACTATATTTAAATAATGTTACTGCATATATATTAAATGAATATGATGCAGTTCTAAGTTCTTTTAACAATACTAAAGTTTTCTTTATAATGATATAGAATAATATAAATTATTTCAAAAAACTTTTAGTTTTTTAATTGATTTTAAATAAAGAGAGTATTATGGATTTAAATAATAATTATTTGCCAATTAAGTTTTGGTTTGGTGCTGATTGGAAGTTTATATCTTTAATTTTTAGCACTAAAGATCCAATAACAAATTTTTTGGTTATATTGTAATTATAAGAAAACAGATCATTGGGATATAGATAAAGATTATAAAAATTTATATAATACTTAAGGGTAAAAAAATTTAAATATTTTGTTTTTTAAAAGAACAACATTGTGATCAGATGAATTATATATAATATTTTGCATTACTAATGTTTTGTTAGAATGTTTTTTTTAAATTATCAATTAAATCTATATTTAATAAACAAGCAAAAAATAATAATAAAATAATAATTTAAAAACAAATCAAATTAACTATTTATTCTATAAGTATTAATAATTTTAAATTTAGAGAGCCTGAAGCTTCAAGAGAAAGATGGCATTGAACATTATTAATAGAATCTGATAAATTGATAATTTTAAAAAAATTTCAAGTAAATTCATTTATTTTAAACTAATAAAGAAGAGAAATACAAAAATTTTAATATGATTTTTTATAAATATATAAAACAATACATAAAATTGATTTTATAAATAAAGATATTACTAATTTTAAAATTTCAACATGACAATAAATTAAAAAATTTTGTTAACCAAATTTGAAAAATTTTACAAGAAGGACTTTATTAATGCAATGATATTACCTTCTTCTTAAAACAAAAAATTTTTATTTATATTGGTTTTTGTATTTGGGTATTGAAAAAAAATCATGATAATGTTTAATTATTTTATGAAGGTACTATAATAGGTAATATTAATTCTCTAAAATCTGCAACTTATAAAATATGCTCTTATGAAAATAGGCAACTTTATTATTATATCAATAAAATGCCTTTATTTTATACTAAAAAAAAATTTAAAACTTAAAAAAACAAATAAAATCTAAACTATAACTATATTACATCTATTTATTTCAAATGTAAATTTCAAAAACCAATATGTTCATATATAAACCTGTTCATTATATTCTTTTTTAGTAGTTCATTCTTTCCAACAAAAGCTAAACTCAGTTTCAATAATTTGTTGTATTACTAGATCTTTTTTTTCAGTTATTACTCTAATCCCAGTTCTTGTCTTTGTTTTTTTTTTTTCACTCCAAGCAAGATGTGCAAAGATATACCTAATTCTTTTGTACTTGACCTTACCTTTATATATGCACTTATATTTTCATTGGGCTGGCTAGTATTTTAAGCCTGGTTCTTAATAAAATATATAATAAAAAAGGGTTTCAGAACAGTGCATAGTGAATTGTTTAGAGCCTTGGGCTAAATGGTGAGTATGAAGGCAAGACTTTACATTTACAAGAAAGACCAACTGAAATTGGCACAAACACCAACTTGAAGGAAATTCAAATCCAGAATTGTGAGAAACAGCACTGTTATGTGAATATTTCTTTGTTTTATGAGACAACAAAGAATTTTTCATTAAATAGGTTTTGGAGCACAAAAGACAAAAAAAGTGCTTGGTGATGACATTATTGTTGATCATTAGTTAGTGTAACTATGTGAGATATCACATTTTATATCACACCACATGAGTCCGATCTGATCAGCCTATATGCTATTTTACTAATGTGAGCCATAAAACGTGATCCTGGAAGCACATAAAAGAAAGTGATTGAGGAACTACCTCAATAACACCTCCAATTTTTTTGTGCAGTTACATGATATTACATAATAATTAGATAAGTGATGATCGATTTTGTTACTAAACTATTACTATATCGCTAAATACTACAGTACTATAATTTTTAAATATTTTCTTTTATGTAATACAATGCAAATTTTTTGCACATATAAATAACAATAAAAAAACATGATTTTTTTTTTTTATAAAATGTAAGATAAAATAAAACATGAATGAACCTGATATAAATGATCTCAATATGAATAAACTCGATATAAATGAACATGAAATGAATAAACCTGATATAATTGAACCTGATATAAATGAACCTAATATAAATGAAAACAATATACTAGAAAAATGCACAAAGTGCTGAAAGTTTTTGTCCCAAAATAAATTTATTAAAAAAAAAAATACCTTAAAAAAAAAAATCTTAAAATCTTGCGAATCTTGTCATCAGCAATCTTCAAGCCATTATAAAGCTTTAGTTGAACACTATGAAAATGAAGTATTACTTTCTGAAGAAATGCCTAAAAAACTTTTTAATGAAATTTCGCTAGTTGGATCTGATGAGTATTTTGAAAATGATTTCGATAGAATTAATTTTAAATCAATTATTGGATTGAATGATTTTAAAAACCAAGGAGATACCTCTCAAGAGATAGCAAAAAAAATTGCAAATTTGATAGATGATAGTGATGGCTATTATTATATTTATTTTAATTACTATAGTTCAAAAAAAGATAATGAATTGCATACATTTCAATATCGATGTTCTCAGTGTTAAAGTTTAGCTAAAAAGCCTCGTAAGCACCAAGATCCTGAATGTCAAAGAGATCATGGATCAATTGAATGCTTTGATTATAGTGGAACACTTAGAATTTCTATAAACATGATAACCAACAATGCATCTATTTACCTTAAACATAAAATTCTTTACAAATGACCTGAAAGGAATCGAGTTACAGAAGAAATTAAAAATATAATTCGAGCAAACCTTCATTTAATGCTATGTGATATTTATAGAATGTTAGAGTCTAACTATCCTAAAATAACACAAAAACAGATTCACTCATGGTGGACAACATTTATTAAAAAAAATTTTATTTGAGATGTCAATCAAATAAATTTTTCTAAAATTCTTTTAGAAAAATATAATTACAAAATTGTTATGTTTAATATCAATAATAGAATTAGTTTTTTAGGTTTTGTTATACTATTTTTTAAACAATTTAAAAAAAATAAGAAAATTTTCATAGATGCAACCTATAAGACAAACAGACTAGGTTATTCAATAGTTGGTCAGTATAATGGAGCAGACTTTACATTAGCATACTTATTTATTGAAGATGGTAAACAGAATGGTGTATGAATTGAAATTTTAGCAGATTTTTTCAAGATATTAATGTATTTAGGAATGGATCAACTTATTTGCATGTATACAGATAAAATCTTGCTCAGATATTAGCAGTACGACAAGCATGACCAAACATTAAAATACAAATTTGTTATTGGCATTTAAAGAAAGCCCTTAAAAAATGATTAGCTGACAATACTTTACCTCAAAAAATAATGTATAGTTCATATGATGCACATAGTATATTTAACTTTATCGATATTGGATTTTATCCTGAATTGCCTATAAACAGAAATAAAACAAAAAATAATTTTATTTTTTGTCCAAAGAATCTGCGACCATAAATTATTTCAATAATGGAATATCATATGCATTTACATTCACTTATTTCTAATTCAGAAAGAAATTTTATAACAAAAGAGAAAATCTGGATATGGTGTACAAAAGAAATGTATAAATTTTGTACTACTAATGAGCTTAAACATCTTTGGTCATATATATGGCAAAATTAGTATTGTAGTGAACTATTGCCCTTATGGACATGCTTATCAATACCTGATCAAATTTGTATTTTTTGCACTACAATGCTGATTAAGTCGCATTGGAAGGTTATAAAGCATGATTTTTTGCCAAAGTTTTTTAGACCACGACTGGATCTTGTAATTTATGTTCTTATTACACAACTTATACCACATAATTAGCAACAATATTCCAAATATTATTATGGTCAAGAAATGCCTTCATGGTATAAAGAATTTAAAAAAGAGTGGAACATATTAAAAAAAAAGATCTTCATCATACTTACTTAACCGATATTGAAAATTAGTTTTGCAGTTGCACTGGATTTTTAATGAGCCAATTCTTTTTATACAAACATCTTATTCAATTATCATCTTATACTACTAATATATCTTTTTTTTATAATGTTAAACGACAAGATACATATTTATTTATAGCTTTACCACTATTAGCTCAAAAAACTTTATCAATTCGTAGACCATTATTACCAATATCAAATAATTCAAATGATTTATTATTATTAAATTATACATCTAATAACAATAATGATAAAT